ATGCCTGACCTGCCATGGCCACTTCCTACCTGGGTGGCCATCAACAAGTCCCATAACTTCTCTGGGCCACCATTTTTCCGTGTGTAAAACAGAAGGTCTAAACTATATAACTCCTTTCCAACTGTAAATCTTTCAGCTCTATTGAGGAATCTCGCTTTCCCAGTGTCAACAAGTATAGATGAGTATGTGCCAGAGGCAGGACTTCAATTCAGGTCTTTCTTGCCCCAAGGCCACCAGGTTACTGTATTCTCACAGTACTATGATACCTCTCCAGGCGTTGAAGATACGCCCAATTCCTGTCCCCTTACTAGTTGTGTAACCCTGGACAACTCACTTAACCCTCTTTGCCTCAGTTTCATCATCTATAAAATGATCTGGAGAAGGAAATGGCAAACAGCCCCAGTATATTTACCAAGAAAACCCCAAATGGGGTCATGAAGTGTCAGACATGACTGAACAACAAAAGCACTTTCCATGCTGGCCATGACTGGGATTGTATGTCTTACTGTGCATAAAGAAGGATAAAGATGTCACAAATAAGCATGACACAATTCAAAATCCATTCAAATGTTTCCTAAGTGCCTGATAGTTGTGAGGTAATGCACCAATGACAGAAGGTGATATTGGCAAAGGAAGGATCCAGACAAAATCCTAAAAACAAGTATGAGGAGAGAGAGACTTCATGGAAGAGATGATGCCTGATCTGGGCATGGACGGAAAAGTTTTCAGCAAGCCACAGGATTACAGAGGGAGTCAGAGAAAGCCTCTAAGGATATCCAGAGGCAGAAGGGGAGAAGACAAGATCAGAAATCATTACTAGTACGGTTAGGAGGAAAATGCAGAGGGCATGTAGACCTAAAGGGACAGCAGCAATGTTGAGATGTGGCTAAGGATGAGAAATGACTTAAGTGTCAAGCTAAAGTGCTTTGTTCACATTTTATCTTGTAAACAACAGGAAGCTAGGAAAGGATTTGGAGAAAAGCAATGATAAGATAAAATTGTGTTAGGAAGGCTACTTGAACATGTATTTGAAAGAATGAAGGCAGGAAAACACTGCAGTAATCTAGGTGAGGAGTAAAGAAACCTAACTTTACCCCATCAGTGTATTTGTCTAATTAAAGTCTCACTAGATCCAAGAATTCACCTGATATATCTTTCTCCCAATCCACCTGCACCCTGATATTCTCCACAAAAGGCAAGCTGATCAGAAGGAAAATTTTAGTTGCTGAGACATCTCTCTCTCATGTCTCAATTAAAAGAATCCCTTTTGGTTGGGACATAAAGAACCTGCTGTGAAAATTTTATGAAAAACTATTTCTGAAAAACTTGAGAAAACTTCTGTGAACTGATGCAGAGTGAAGTAAGTGGGACCAGGAGAACAACAAAACTGTAAAAAAAAAAAAACCCAAAAAACAGCTTTGAAAGACTTAAGAACTCTGATCAACACAATGACCAGCCATGATTCCAGAAGACTAGTGATGAAACATACACTACTCATCCTCTTCTCAAGACAAGACAGGCATTTCTGGACATGGTCATTACAAGAATGTTTTGCTCAACTATGCATTTGTTATAGAGGTTCTGTTTTTCTACTCCTCCCTCTCCCATGGGATGGAAGTGAAAGAGAGAGAAAATGTTTTCATTAATTGAAGAAAATAAAATTTTAAAAAGACATAAGGAGCCAAATTCTACCTTGGCCTACCCACGTCCACATTTCATTAACTCTACATCTAGCCAAAGTGAAGTACAAGCAGTTCTCTAAATTCTTTATGATCTGTCCTACATTCCCATAAGCTGTCCCCCACGCCTGGAAGGCGCTCCACTCACTCTTCAGCTCTGCCTCAGAATACTTTTCTTCCCCGACATTTCAACTTAAGTACCATTGCTTCTAGGAAACCTTCCCAGATCCCCCAAGTTATAGTGCTCTGTCCCTCACAATTTCCTTTGTACAGTTACATATTTGCATTAGCTTCTTGAGGGCAGGGACAATTTCCTTTATCTTTTATCCCCAAGACCAGCGCAGTCATCTAGCACAAAGGAAGACCTTCAAAAATGCTTTTTCTATTTTTATTCTTTATTATAAAGTATGTCTCTCTGGGAAGGGGACGGAGAAGGAAATGTAGATGGTGAAAAAAAACAAGATATTAGGAAAACATTTTTATATTTAATTAAAAAGAAAAAAGTATTCAATTGAATTCAATGTCAAAGCATGGCTTCTCAATAGAAACTAGCGAAGGATATCGTTTGGCTGTTCAGTTCAGATAAGATTTGTAAGAAAGAAGGAATGTGAACGTGTGTATGTAGGTATATACACAAATACATAAATATACACATATATACTGTTGTTTGAAATAGTCACTGCTGGAATGCCCTATTAGTGGGGTGCACTAAGTAACTAGCCCTTCCCCAAAGGCATAAAAAATAGCCACATATAAAATTTTAAAAACAAAAACAAAGACGTACAACCAAGAGCTGGCTCTGAATAAATGTAGGAGAGGCTTAATCAGCAAGAAGGAAACAGAGACACAGAGAGAGAGAGTGCGTGTGTGTGTGTGTGTGTGTGTGTGTGTGTGTGTGTGTGTGTGCTCACACTCTCTCCAAGCCTTTCAGCGTCAAAATCTGGTCACGTAGCTGAGAAAGCTCACGCTGCTCCTCGAATCAAAAGTGAGCTCTGCTTCCCATCTGCCCGTGACAGTCGAAAAGGAGCCTGAGGGATGAGTCTTGGCTCTCCCTCATGCTCCTGACGTAAGTGGAAAAGTCACTGACAGACTGAAATGAAAAGGGCACTAGAAAGGCCCCCTACTCCAAAAACCCATCACTAGCCAAGACCTGACATTCTAAAACTACTGATTATTTTCTTTTGGCTGAAACATCATCCTCTACCCTTTTAAAATTTAAATGTTCTTGGTGGGGGAAAGCGTGAAATACCTAGCCCTTTAGTGAGAATGAGCTCCCTTTCCCCTGACCCTCTGAGGAGGGACCAGGGTAACATTCAGAACCGTGGGCCCTGCTGGGAAGCAGTGAACAGGAATAAAGAGTCACCATTGAATTCTTACAGAATCCCTCTTTGTTCAAGATTCAGCTGAGTCCCACCTTCTCCATAAAGTCTTTCCTGACCCCCACCACACACACACACAACCACTAGTGCCCTCCCCCCCTCAGCTACCTTCCAATTAGCTACTTATTGTAATTCTGTACATACATGTCTCACCCCCACATCCCCCAAAAAACCAGGATTCAAACCCAGGTCCCTTGAAACCAAATCCAGAATTCTCTCTATCACACTACATCATACTGTCTGTGTTCAAATGCTAGCCCTGACCTCCATGGGGCTTTGAGGAAATCATTAAATCTCTGATATTCAGTTTGCCTGCCTAAAAAGTCAACCAGATGATGTCTGGGGTCCCTTCCAGCTCAGAATCTATGATCTTATATTCACTGTCCCGTTCAAAATTTGGCCACTGACTGACCCTATTCCTGTGTCCTCTTTCTACACAATTCCTATACAAATAAACCCAAGGAAAACTATGAATGTAGACAGTCTACATACAATTCACAGCCCCCAAGTCTAGAGAGGTCCAAGGCACTGTACAGGAAAATACCTCTTTTATCCCCTGGGCTTCAAAGAAGCACCCATAGGCACGGACCAACACTGTTCTTACAGTGCATCAAATAAAGTGGAAAGTGGCCTCACCTCCTAAGACAATCTGAAATCAGCACCCCCAAAACACAAGTGTTCGTTCCAACCTGGAATGTTCTATTATCAGGCCCAGGTTTTAGAAAGGGGGCTCTTAGCAGAAAGTAGCCACCAAAATAACCTGACCTCCACAATGCAACCCCTACAAAAACCTTGGTTTCCTCATCTATAAATGAAGTGGTTGAACTCCTTTCCAATTCTAAATGTCTCATCATATTACCGGTTCCTGGATTTTAGAGGGAAGAATCTTAAATCTGATCTCATTTCTTACATTTTGCTAGAGACGCTGAGCCTAAAAAAGGAAAAGATTCAGAGGGAGATGCTGGATGGCTTCAAGAATTTTTATTTTTAAGACTGGGTCTCTCTATTTCACCCACTCTGAAGGACAGGGGAGCTGAAGACCAGCTCTCTCTCCAGACTGGGATGACTCGTCTTTCCCTGATGGCCTCTTGCTCTTGCTTGGGAAGCTTGGGAATGCCAAACTTAATACGGTTACTTTTTCAGCTTAGCTCACCACAGCTCAGAACTACAGAGCCCAAGAGATGCTCCAGTCTCAGTTTTCCCCAGTAGCAGGGTATACACCTCTTCATCCAGTTCTTCAAGACTTCAAAGGATTGTCCTTAAAAAAAGGGATTAGTCTTGTTCTGTTTTACCCCAGAAAGCAGAACTAGGAGCAATGAGAAAGTGCAAAGAGGCAAATTTCATCTTGATATTAAGAAATAACTTCATAATAATTAGAGCTGCCCAAAAACAGAAAGGGCTGCTTCTGGAGGTACTGAATTTTCTTCTCTCTGAAGATGTTCGAGCAAAGGAATGATGACTGGTTATGTTGTAAAAGGGTTTGCTTTTCACATATGGGTTGGACTAGACACTAGACAGTCACTCAAGAAACTTGCAACTCTGAAATTCCGTGATTCTATGAAAAGGACTTTGGCTTGTGCAGACAGGCTTATAGAGAAGAATTACAGGCTCTACAAGGCACTGGTATGGAAAACCATCCATTGTCCCCAACAATCACCTTCCATTTTAACATTACAGCCAGGTTTTCTCCTCCTCCTCTAAGATGACTCCCTATAGTTGCTTATTAGAGAAAACTCCACTGAATGAGAATGCAGTGGGAGAATCTGAACAGTCCAGGTCAGCTTTGAACCACACCCTGGTCAGTGGCATCAGCCCCTGTGGCTCTACACACCCACCAGGCACCTTTACTGACAGAAGGCAAGCTGGCAGAAAGCCAGGCCTTTGGACTTTGGCTCCCCTGGCACTTCCTGAAGGGCTGACACATTGGCAGAGTGGTACTCACCCACACTGCTGAGGGAACTGCTGCTTTCTGAGTCCGAGGGCATGATGGACAAGACACTGTAAGTGGATCCTGGGAATGAAAGGGGAGACAAATTATTAGAACCCTAATTTGTCCCTCCTCCTGCTGGCTTTTTGCCTCCCTCATCAGTTGACCAGAGTATGACCTATCAGATCACACAGCCACTGCTTCCACCTGCTTACCACCTCCTTGATCTTTAACCCCTCGTGACAATCTGGCTTCCACTCCCACCATTCCACTGGAGCTGCTCTCCCTCCAAGGTCACCAAACAAATTTCCTAATCATTATCACCAAATCTCAGCCTTCCCTCTCCTTGACCCTTCAGTATTTAACAATCCCCTCCTTCTGGAAACACTGTCCTTCCACCAGACAAAGAATTAACCTGATTATTCCTACCCCTGTCCACTCCTACCTACCTCTCGGCTCTACTTTCTTTTTCCATCCCTTTGATGTCAAAGGCTCTATCCCGACTCCTCTTCTCTCCCCACACTTTCTCCCTTGACAATCTCATCCAGTCCCAAAGCTTCAAGGGTCAGCTCTAAGGCAACCAGCTTCTTCCTTCCACCAGACTACTAATCTGCAGTCCTCTCTATGAGATCTCTGCCTGGATGCAAGACAGGCAGCTCATATTAGGAGGGAGTGAGATAGAGGGGAATGGAAGTAGAGACTTAGGTTCCATGACCAGCTCTGTCAGTAACTGGACTGTACGACTTCAAGAGATCAAGTTACCTCTTGGAGCAGAGGTTCTTAATCTATTTTATGCCAGGGACTCCTTTGGGTAGCATCGGGCAAAACCTATGGACTGCTCCTTAAATGCATAAAATAAAGCACACAGGATTACAAAGAAAACCAACCACATAAATACAGCTATGAAAATATTCACAAGATAAGTTTGCAGATCTTAGAACAAGAATCTTTTTTAGTGCCTGTTTCCTTAACTGTACAGAGGGAGCTAAGAAGTGCAATGGATGGAGCACCTCATAAAATGCTGGTATACTACCTTTGGTCCACTATTTTTAGCAGCTAGCTAGTACAATGGATGGAGCACTGGGCCTAGAATCAGGAGGACTTGAGTTCAAATCCTACCTCAGATATTTCCTAGTTGTCCAACCCTGAGTGAGTCACTTCACCACTGCCTACCTCAGTTTCCTAATCTGCAAAATGGAGATAATCATAGCTGCCCTCACAAGACTGTTGTGAGAATCAAATGAGAATATTTATAAAGCACTTAGCACAGTGTCTGGCACATTGTAAGCATTTCATAAACGCTTGTTTCCACCCTAAAATTAAAGCATTGTCCCATATGATCTCTTATGGTTCTTTCCAGTACTCAAACACTATAAATCCATGTCCAAAATGAAACTTACCACCACCCAAAGAAACCAAACTACATCTCCCCCACCCCTTCCCTGCAAGGACTCTAGGTCAACATATAACAATTATGGGTTTTTACTTTACTTCTCTGCTCTTTTATCCCACAGATGCAATTTGCACATAAACCAATCTGTATGAAAGGGCTCCTACTAGTATGAGATTTTTTTTCTTCAAGGTAAGACTGTTCCTGCCATTCTATGAAACAGTTCAGAAGCTGCAAGTTCAAATAATTCTGCCATCACTGTTTTCTAAACCTGTTCTCATACAGCATTTTTAAAATAAGGAGTTAAAGCATTGTGGTGAGAACAGGAAGCATTCTCAAATAGCACAGTAATTGGCATTCATGTTTTCAAAGCATGTGACATCCACTACCTTTCTCGAGTCTCACACAGCCTGAAGGAGGTAGGCTACAGGTGTATTATCAGCATTTTACAGATGACAAAACTGAGGCTATAAGGGACTAGGTGAATGGTCATCCCAAGATCAGACAGCTGGGACAGCCAACATGTGATAGAAGTGGGATCTGAACCCAGGTATTTCTGACTCCAAAAATATGTCAGGCTACAACTTGGATGGAGGGGAGGGAGTTCATTTGCTGGCTTGTTTTCCAAAGTCTCCTAACTCAGAAAAATGGAAATAAACACCACACAAAAACATCCCCTCTAGTGAACAAAATTTTGCTTGCACAAACTGGAATGGATGATAGGAACCTGGCCATGAACTTCATTTTTCAAAGGACTTATTACATTTCTCATTATTCACACACACAAAGCACCCATCTTTCAGTAAACCACCTTCCTTTCAAGTTCTCCAAAGCACATCTTTCCCCTCCCCACAGGCCAGCGTTTATTAAACTTGGCAAGTACCCCTCTTTCACCTCCTACCTCCTACTTCACTCCCTCACTTCTTCACTCTGGAGATGGCTGATTCAAGTTGCAACCAATGCATTTTCCCCCTTCTCAGATGCAAGATTTCATCTGACTCCCCAGGGCCAAGTGGCAGAGTGACCATTCCTTGTCCTTCTGAATTTCTGTGTGCCAGCCAAAGCCAGTCTTCTGGCAGGGGTCCCACTGACTGAGGAGAGGGAGGGGGGATAGAGAATGATGAAAACTGGAAAGAACCCAGTTTTTTGCAATGTTCCCAGTGCCTTAGATGTCAAGAAAACAACAGCCCAGAGACTCCATGCATGTGTTCTATCTGTCACGCTGTCTCTATGGCTAATCTTTCCTTAGAAGCCCTGTGGTCAGGTCTGTCGGGAAGAGAAAAGTCACTCCTTCTCCTAAGTCACATGGCATCCCAAAAAAGTTCATAGCTAAGAGGGAGGGGGAGGAGGAAGAAAAAAGAGAGGGAGAGGGGGAAATGTAAATGCCTTAGGTTGGCTTTGGTTTTTCTCCATCTCAGGTGCTTTCCAATCTACTTCCAAGATGTGGACATGAACAAGTTAACATGTAATATAAGTTCCTATTGTGGGAGGGCAGGCACACTGATTCACTGGTGGTGGGGCTATGATCTAACCATTCTAGAAAGCAATTTGGACCTATGCTCCAAATGTCGATGAACTGAGCATAACTTTGACCCTGCAATAGCACGACCAGACACATACTCAAAAGAAGTCAAAGACAGAGGGAAAAGTCCCACATGTACAAAACTACAGTGGCTCTTTTTGCTATAGCAAAGTAGATAGCCATCAATTGGATACTTACATTCTAATGTTCTACAGAATTAAAAGATTATAGATTCCAAGCTGGAAGGGACTTTAGAGGGCACTCTTTTCAAGAGACACTATTGATCTGGAATTTCCTAAATAAACCTGAAAGTGCTGATAAAGCAGCAATTATAATGGATTATATCTATATAGCCTTGTCAGGTAAAGGGACCTACTTCACATAAAACTTTTTTTCACATGATCCTCCCAACCATCCCAGGAGGTATTATTATCTTTATTTTACAGATGAAGAAACTAAGAAGTTAAGTGACATTGCTGGGGTCACCTAGCTAATATCATGGAGGGGTTTTGAATCCAGCCAGTCTTGTAACCCCAACTCCAGTGTTCTTTCCACCAGAGCACACAGACTCCACTTCCCTTATCACCCCAAACTTCCCCACCAACACTGGAGCATGGAAAGGTAGGACATGCCTGAAAAGAGCTTACAACCAGTAAGGAAAAGCCAAACTAATCTACATGAAAGGGAAAGGGGACAGGTAAATAGGAAACTGTCTAGGCTTGAATTAACACAAGGGACTCCTCAAATATGGTAGAAGACTTAGATTCACAGAACATTGGTGCCCAAAGAAACGTCGGAGTTTTAGTTTCACATTCTTATTCTGCAAATGAAGAAAGTAAGACCTAAAAAGCCAAGTCAACTAGCATTCATTTTTGACAGCTGAATGATTTGCCCAAAGTTATACAGTGATAAATGTTTATTGATCGACTGATCGATTGATCCTGGGTCCCTCAACTTCTAGTCCAATGCTGTTTTTTCCATGACACCCTGAAAACTGATACAGTGGACTCTGGAGTTAATGGATCTGGGCTCTAAATCCAACTATACTACTAACTGAGATGTGTGACCCTGGACAAGTCACTTAAACCTCTCTTGGACTTAATCCCTTCATGTAAAACGGGGGAACTGTACTATATCACAGGTTCATAACCTGGGATCACTAAAGTTTAGCTTTTTATAATATTTTGATATTTACATTTCAACATGATAGGTTTCCTTTGTAATTCTATGTGTCTTAATTTACACATTTAACAATATGATTCTGAGAAAGGGATCACAGGTTTCACCAGACACTGACGAAGGGACCACAACCCACACACACACAAAGAGTTACTGGACTACATGGTCTCTAAAGCCACTTCCAGCCCCAAATTCATTCTTCCTTTCCCTCAGTTGCTAGTGCTCACCCCATATTTATTTTGTATACATTTTTGTCTCTGTTGTCTCCCCCAGTAAAATGTAAACTCTATAAAAATGTAAATGTCTGTATCCCTGGTATCTGTATAACAACTGGCACATCACAGATGCTTAATAAAGGATTGTTGATTGATTTCGCCTCTGCTCCTATTACCTATGTAAAAAAAAAATAAACATAATAAAAGATTTACCCTTTAAATATAAAAAAATTTCACAGTCCCTACCAGCCATAATAGTAGTTCTTACTACAGGCAAATTTATGACCAAAAAATACCTACTATAAATCCAGTAATGCTTTTAAACTAATTTGAATTTATTAAGAAAGCAGTATGGTATAGTGTAGACTTTTTGGTCTTAGGACTTCTTTATACTCTTAAAAATTACTGGGATCCGGGACAACTAGGTGGCGCAGTGGATAGAGCACCAGCCCTGGATTCAGGAGGACCTGAGTTCAAATCTGGCCTCAGACACATAACACTTACTAGCTGTGTGACCCTGGGCAAGTCACTTAACCCCATTGCCTAGCCAAAAAAAAAAAATTACTGAGATCCAGGGGTAGCTAGATGGCTCAGTGGATAAAGCACCCACGCTGAATTCAGGAAGACCTGAGTTCAAATCTGACTTCAGACACTTAACACTTACTAGCTGTGTGACCTTGGACAAGTCACTTCATCCCACTGCCTCGGGGGGAAAAAAGAGGCGCAGAGAGAAAGAGAATGAAGGAAGAACAACAATAAAATTACTAAGACCCCCAAAGAGCTTTTTCAGGTGGAAGATACATAGATAAAGCTAGATACAAAATTTGTTTTGGTCGTTGAGTCATTTCAGTAGTGTCTAATTCTCCATGACCTCATTTGGGGTTTTCTTGGCAAAGACACTGCAGTGGTTGGCCATTTCCTTCTCCAGCTCATTTTACAGATGAGGAAATTGAGGCAAACAGGGTGAAGTGACTTGCCCATGGTCACACAGCTAGTAAGGGTCTGAGGCCAGATTTGAACTCAGGAAGATGAGTCTTCCTGACTCCAGGTCTGGCACTCTATCCACTACACCACCTAGCTGCCCTTATTTATTTTTTTTAACCATATTACAAATTAAAACTAATAATTTTTTAAAAATACTTATTGTTCATTCATTTTAAAGTAACAATAATAAACTCACTACATATTAACCAAACACTTTTTTTGAAAAATAATTAAATCTTCTAAAACAAAAAAACTCTGGTGAAAAGGGGCACTATTTTTACATATTTTTGCAAGTTTCTTTAATGTCTGCCTTAACAGAAAACATTTTGATTCTCATATCTGCTTCTGCATTCAGTCTGTTGGGATATGTTGTTTTGGCTGAAGTAGATGAAGAAAAATTCAGGTTCATACAGAGATGTAGTTGGAAAAAGGAGAGGCAGTCTTAAAAGGCAAATAACGTTTTAACATTATGATGAAAATAGTTTTGACCTTTAACTCAGAAAAGGTCCAAGGAAGCCCCCCAAGAGTCCCAAAACCACACGCAGAAGAAGCAGGTATGATGACACTTACTAGCTGTGTGACCCTGGGCAAATCACTTAACCCCAATGCCAAGCTCCACCCAAAAAAAATTTTTTTAAAAAAGAAGCAGCAGCAGGTATGTCAGCTGCCTGACACTAGCCACTTAACCTCTCAATGTGGTGGGCAATTCTTTAAGATTATTATTACTATTCTAGAAAAATTGACAACCTGCATTGATATAGAGTTTTCTCCCCTGGGAGTTCCCCATACCAATAAAATCAGAGGTCCAGTTTCTATCGCCTTCATTAATCACAACAGAATCTACATTTTTTGAAACATATTATTCCATATATGTGAGACATCACTTTTCTCTGCGAGCAGTTAGGTGGCACAGCAGGGAGAGCAATGGACTTGACATCAGGAAGATTCATCTTCATGAGTTCAGATCTGGCACCAGGCATTTACTAGCTGTGTGACCCTGGGCAAGTCACTGAATCCCATTCGCCTCAGCTGCCTCATGTGGAAAATGAGCTAGAGAAGGGAATGGCAAACCACTCCAGTATATTTGCCCAAAAAACCCCAAACGGGCTCACAACGAGTTGGACATGACTGAACAACAAGAACATTTGGTCTACAGAAAAAATTACCACTTTGAATTCCTAAACCTCCTGAAATAACTGCACTGCTCTTTACAGCATCCATAATCTGCATGTGATGAATATGTTCTAAATTAGGCACTAAAAAGAGTCAGGAAACCCAGGGCTGCTAACCGACCAGCTTGCGTGATCTTAGGCAAACTGTTCCATTTCCACTGACCCTTTTCCTCTGGAAAAGGAGGCAGTTGTGCTTGATCTCCAAGGTCCCTCCCACCCAGCTCTGAAGTCATCTCTAAATTAGGACTTGGAGGATGATATGATGATGATTTGAACAATCTCGCAGAGCGACGTCAGATTTAAACTGAACTAGACCACAAAATGTGCTATTCCTACTTTGGGAAATCAAATCTTCACCTCCCTCAAATTTAACCTAGGTTGCCTGGAAACTTTTTTTTAACCATTTTGGTAACTATATTTTAACATAACTGGTTTCCTTTGTAACCCTTTATATTTTATTTTTATGCATTTAAAAAGATTACTCTAAGAAGCGGTCAACAGGCTTTGGAGGACTTCCAAAGAGTTCCACGACCTACAAAAAAAGGTCAAGAATCCCAGTCTAGGTGAAAACTTCTGCAATGAACAGAGAGTCTTAACAGGTAACCACACCTGCCAATGGACCCAACTCAACTTGGTTCTACAATATCACCACTACATTTCTCCAGTACCTTTTTCGGTCTCTCCCAAAAGGGCCTTCAGATAATTCCTCCTTCCCCTCCAATCCCCATTGATAGGCACATATATTAATTGCCTACTGTGTGCTGGATATAGTGCTAAGTCTTAGAAAGTGACCTTTCCAACCCAGAGAGGGAGGGAGGCAGCAATCATTAACCCCCTTTTACAGGAAGAAAAATGAATGGGTCAGGGAGAATATAAAATTTGCTTAAGTCCCTACAACTAGTAGGTGGCTGAGTCAGGAATTTTGGAACCCTCTCCCACTACACTTTTGCTAAGAGTCCCAAATGGTGAAAAAATAAAATAATCTACCCAAAAGAAGTTAATTTTTTACCCAACCAACAGGTTTCACTTGATCCAACGGGGTTAGCAGGAACATTATTCCATATTCCCTCCCCACTGATTACACTGATAAAAGAACCAAACTAGGGGCTCCACAAATCCCAGATAAACTATTATTGTGCTCTCCCTAAAGTAAGTTGATATATTTATCTTATGCATTTCTCAGTCTGGAGGAGGAAAGGTGAGAATCAAGGGGGAAAGGATTTTCTAGAGCTGAGGCCCTAGCTCTGTCAATGACTCACCCTTGGATCTTCCATAAGGCTCTATATCTCCCTGGGGCTCAGTTTCCTCACCTGTAAATAGAGTGGTTAGGATTAGGCAATTTCTATAGTACCTTTCCAGCCCATTTTGTGACTGTCAGAGGCTTTGGAAGGGCAACCACTGAAACAATAAATGAGCTCTGGGCAAAACCCCACCCAATCCAACTATACCTCCGTTACTTATACCCTAAATCTGCATTTCCAGATTCCTTTAAAAACAAACAAACAAAAAATCACCCGGGGCTATAGAAATCTAGAACCAAAAGAAAAATCCTTGAGGATTAAGCATTGAGATGACAGTTTTGAGAAAGGAGGCTCACAGCAATATCTAAAACATGGGTGTAAATCAGCTTTCTCCTGCCTTCAAGTCAGAACCATTCATTCCCAGTAAAGCTCTATAAAAACGGAAGTGCTGCAAATCAAATTCCATTTGAAATAAACTAAGGTAGGGTAAGCTAGAATCCTCTTATGGTCTGGTGCTAATAATCACTCACAAGGGTGACTTCTACAAATTTAAGCTTTTCTTTGAGGTTTTCTTTAAATGGAGGCTGGAACATAGTAAAGGCTTAATAAATGTTTATTGATTGTTATTTCCCATAAAAGTCAAAGTCATAGAAAGAGAAAAGAAAAACAAATTTCCTGTAACAGATATGCATATCAAGCAAAACAAATGTCCTCACCGGCTACGTAGGAAAAAAAAAAATCAATGTCTCATAATGTACCCTAATGCTGTCATCTGCCAGAAGGTAGATAGCATATTTCATCATTAATCCTTTGGAATCATGGAGGGTCAGTGTACTGATCACAGTTCTTTTAAACTTGTGTATCTTTGCAGCGTTGTTTTATTGTATAAACTGATTTCCTGATTCTGTTCTTTTAATTCTTCATCAGTTTTTAATAGTTTTTCTAAAGCTTTAAAATTATCTATTTCCTCATTTCTTAGACCACAGTAGTATTCCATCACCTTCACACACAACTAATTCAGCCATTCTTCAAGTGATGGGCATCCCTTTAGCTACAGGTTTTTGCCACCACAAAAAAAGAGCTGCTGAGAGTATTTTTGTTCATCTAGGCCTTTTTCTTCCTCTCTCATTGACAGTCAGAACAAAGCTAGTAAGACGCTATGGGAGTCTGTGGAAGAATCCACCATGCCTTCAGCCCCTCTGAAGTCCCACCAGCTTTTAAAATGGCCCCAACCAACACACATGTACTAAACAGCTCAATCAAGGGCACCGCCCATCTTCCCAGGAGCAGGTTGGCCACCTTAGTGTCCTCCTCAGCTCCTCACCCTCACTTGCCAATTAGCTGCCCAGTCTTATGGCTTATGCCTTTTCCACAACTTTCACACATGTCCCCTCCTCTCTACTTCCACATTCTGTGTAATTGAAGCCCTCATTACCTCTCTCTTGGACAACTGTCTTCTAATTGGTTAGTTAACTAATTAATCTCCTATCTCAAGTGCATCTCTATTCATCTTCCACCAAGCTTCCTATGCCACTCCCTTACTCAATAAATTCCAGCGGCACTCTATTACCTCTGCGGGCAAATAAAAACTCCTCTTTCAGGCATTTAAAGTCTGTCACAACCCAGATCTAATCAGGCCTCATCTCATATTATCCCCCTGCAAGCCACACATCGCCCAGCCAAACAGGTCACTTTGCTACTCCTCAAAGGATGTCCCATCTCCTGTCTCCTGACAGCTGGAGTGTCCTCACTTCTCTGGGAATTCCCAGTTACCTTCAAATCTCAATTCAAGTACCAATAAGTCACCTTGTATGTACAAAGAGCTTAGTGTAAACCCACACTGGGTAAGAAAAGCAAAAGCACAGAGTTAGGAGGACAGAAGGGTGTCACCTTCTCCATGAGGCTGCTCCCATCCTCCAGCTTCTGGCACTTCTAAAAAAATGTCCCTGAATTTATCCTGTCTATACATATTTAATTTTATCTCCATTACAAGGAAGGGCTTCCTCAGCACAGTGCTTGGTATACTGTAAGCACTTAATATGTGCTTGTTGACTTATCAACACATAGATACATTATGTCTTCCCCTCTTCTTCACAGAATATAAGCTCCCAGAGGACAAGGACTGTTTCCCTTTTGCCTTTGTATGCATGGCACCTGGCACACAGCAGGTGCTTAAGAAAAGCTTGTAGAGTTGTGGTATATGAATGTAATGGAATACTATTGTGCTATAAGAAATGACGAGCAGGCAGACTGCAGAAAACCTGGAAAGACATATATGAACTGATGTGGAGTGAAATGAGCAGAACCAGAAGAACATTGCACACAGTAACAGCCACACTGTGTGATGACTAACTTTGAAACACTTGGCTCTTCTCAGCAATACAAGGATCTAAGACAATTCCAAAAGACTCATGATGGAAAACGCTATCCACCTCCAGAGAAAGAACCAATACTATTTGCTCTTTTTTTGCTGTTTTATTTATTCTTTCACGTGATAGTTTCTCCCATTGGTTCTAATTCTTCTTTACAACATGACTAATGTAAAAATCTTTAATATGAACGTATATGTAGAGCCTATATCAGACTGCATGCTATCTTGGGGAGCGGAAAAGGGAGGGAGGGGGAGAAAATTTAAAACTCAAAAGCTTATGGAAGTGAATATTGAAAACTAAAAATAAATAACTTTAAAAAAAAAAAAAGCTTGTAGACCAACTGATAATGTAGAAGGGCACTGTGCTAGGCCCCAAGCCCAAAAACAAAATGATAAACAGTCCTTGTCCTAAAGTTAACAGCCTCTGCACACAACATGTACTAAGATAATCCAGATACAGAAGACACTGGGCCTGGGATTTCTTTGGTATACAGAACTCCCAGGAGAGGAAATTGTCTCATCTTGTCTACAACTTTTAGAGTCGCCTGGGAATGTGAAGAGAGTCACACAGCCAGTCCGTGTCTGAAGAGACTTGAACTGGGATCTTCCTGCCTTTGAGGCCAGCTCACTATTCATCATACTGTGCTGCCTTGCATTTTGTACAACACCAGATAATTTGACCTATTTTGTACAATATCAGATAATTTGGCAGCTAGGCAGCACAATGGATAGAACACCATCCTGAACTCAGGAAGACTCATCTGGCCTCAGACGCTTACTGGCTGTATGAGCCTAGGAAAGCCACTGAATCCCGTTTGCCTCAGTTTCCTCAACTGTAAAATGAGTTGGAGAAGGAAATGGCAAACCACTCCAGTACCTTCGCCAAGAAAACTTCAAATGGGGTCCCAAAGAGTTGGATAGGACTGAAACAACTAAACAACCAAATCTGAAGAGAAAGAGAGAGCACCTAGGGTTATCTGGAGAGGCTTCCCCTAGGTGATGGCCTATGGGCTGAACCTGGAAGAAAGATAATGACGCTAGAAGCCGGGGTGAGGAGAGAGTACATTCCAGGCCTGAGGGACAACCAGTAAGTGCAAAGAGGTGGGGGATGGAACACAAAATTCAGGGAACAGTTAAGTAGCCTCAAAGGGGAATAATGTACAATAAACGTTTACTTTTTAAAAAGAAGCAAGATAAATAAGACTGCCCCAACCAAGATCTTTTGAATTAATGTCATTAATACATTTTCAAACCCCTCTACCCAAATCCTTTGAGATGTAAATTGGCTTAAGCAATCCTGCCTACCAGGGCCATCCTGTTTACTATGCACACATAAACACTTCCTTAGGAACCAACCTGGCTATAACAAGTTCCTGGAACAGAAACATTAGATGGGGTGTACCTATTATTTTTTTCCTTTGAAACATCCCCAGACTGATTTCAAAAGAAGCACACCCTCTCCAAAACCCAACAAAAAACAAAAGGTCAATTAATAACCCCATGGCATTGAAATAATGTTGGTTTTTTCTTTCAAATATAACTGAGTCAACTCTGGGGAAAGTCTGTCTGACTCCCTAACAATAAAAATCATCTGACTGTGTAACAAATACAGGGGGTCATCTTTGAGTTCAAAGACTGAGTGCAAGAAAGGCCCTCAAAAGTCAGCTAGGCATTTAACCAAGCTCAAAAGTGACTTCCAGAGAAGAGCCAGATTTAGAAATGGAAGGATCTTCTGAGGTCATACAGTACAACCTGGTTCCCTCCTATTCCAGATGAAGGAAGCAAGGCTGAGAACAGTGACTTGCCCAGGGTCACATAGAGAGCAACACCATAATATACTTAGCTTCTCTTCCATTACAAATACTTCCTTACAGGGAGTAGCTAGGTGGCGAAGTGGATAGAGGTCCAGCCTTGGAGTCAGAAGGACCCGAGTTCAAATACGACCTCAGACACTTGACACTTACTAGCAGTGTGACCCTGTGTTAAACCCAGATTGCCTCACCTAAAAAAAAAAATACTTCCTCAGAGAAAGACCCTAAATTCTGGAACCTTAAACAGCCACGCCTCTTCCATACAAACAGTCTTTTCACTCTGATGTGTATAGCTACACTTAATAACAACTCACATTTATACAGCAATTCATAAGTTTATTCTCCCCTCATGACAGTTCCTGTGAAGTAAATCTTAAAAACAAATATTAACCCAATTTTAAAGATGGGGACAATGAAGCTATATTAAAGGGGTTAAATGCCTCCCCTAAAGCCCCAGAACAAATAGCTAGACTAGGAAGATTTAAACCATATCTCCAGAAAAACAGGGAAGGAAGGATGGAAGGAGGGAAGGGAGGGAGGGAGAGAGGGAAGAGGGAAGGAAGGAAAGAAGGAAGAAAAGGAAAGGAAGGGGAAAGAAAGGGAGGGGAGGGAGGGAGAGGAAGAAAGGAAAGAAGGAAGGAGGGAGGGAGGGAAAGAAAGAAAGGGAGGGAAGGGAGGGAGAGGAAAAAAGGAAAGAAGGAAGGAGGGAGGGAGGGAAGGAAGTAAGGAAAGGAGGAAGGGAGAAAAGGAGGAAGAGGAGAGAAGGACTTATTTAGCACCTACTATGTGTCAGGCACTCTTCTAAGTGCTTTACAAATATCTCATTTGATCCTCACAACAACCCTGGAAGATAAGTGCTATGGTCATTATTCTCATTATTCTCATTT